CAAGAAATCCGCTGACACTGTACTTGATTATAACGGTTTATTATATCAAAGATTTCAGCATCAATTTACAGACTTCTGCAGAATCTGGAGAGCAACAAACCCAATCTCAAATATGATCACTCTCTCCTTCCTTTGTTCAAACATGGTATATATCCTATGTAACATAAGATGGCGTGTTTTGAATAGACCAATCCCTGGCCTCCACATATCCCAATGTCCACTGTTTTAGGGGGCCCCTATAGTAACACTCTCCAGATGTTTCAGCACAGCAGAGCAAAGTTCATTTAACCAACAATATGAAAACCTCAGCCAAAGCTATAAATGTTCAGATACTACAATATGAATGATTTATCTGCTTTCCCAATGAAAACTAGTGGGCCAGCGTAATATAACGCCCTCATTGTTGCTATCGACCTGACCATTCAGAATCATGACAATGCATGTCTTCTGTCCACATCATCGTTGCTATCGACCTGACCATTCAGAATCATGACAATGCATGTCTTCTGGCCACATCATCGTTGCTATCGACCTGACCATTCAGAATCATGACAATGCATGTCTTCTGGCCACATCATCGTTGCTATCGACCTGACCATTCAGAATCATGACAATGCATGTCTTCTGGCCACATCATCGTTGCTATCGACCTGACCATTCAGAATCATGACAATGCATGTCTTCTGGCCACATCATTGTTGCTATCGACCTGACCATTCAGAATCATGACAATGCATGTCTTCTGGCCACATCATCGTTGCTATCGACCTGACCATTCAGAATCATGACAATGCATGTCTTCTGGCCACATCATTGTTGCTATCGACCTGACCATTCAGAATCATGACAATGCATGTCTTCTGGCCACATCATTGTTGCTATCGACCTGACCATTCAGAATCATGACAATGCATGTCTTCTGGCCACATCATTGTTGCTATCGACCTGACCATTCAGAATCATGACAATGCATGTCTTCTGGCCACATCAATGTGTGCCATCATTTTCTTGGCGCTGTCAGCCAACCTGTCTATTATGGTGCTTTCAAGACAACTGGGAACTCTGGAAAAATAAGAGGTCAAATCATGATGTCAGTGATCTTCAGGTCGGAAAGTGGGAGCTCTAGAAAGAGGCCAGAGTTCCCGACTTGGAATTCCAAGTTGGATGACCATTCAAAAATATTTTTCCCAGTCGGAGCTAGTTTTTTCCCGAGTTCCCAGTTGTCTTGAACGCATTGAAGTCGGAAGTCATCAAGTTGCAAGGTGTTTTGAACACGGCATACGATTAGAAAACACAAAAGGAGCCACCAACCGCATTTGGTGTGTCGTCATAACGGTCTCTGACTTGTGCATTTGGTGTGTCGTCATAACGGTCTCAGACTTGTGCATTTAGTGTGTCGTCATAACGGTCTCTGACTTGTGCATTTGGTGTGTCGTCATAACGGTCTCTGACTTGTGCATTTGGTGTGTCGTCATAACGGTCTCTGACTTGTGCATTTGGTGTGTCGTCATAACGGTCTCTGACTTGTGCATTTGGTGTGTCATTGAGAAAACAGAAAGGTGTCATCATCATCTATTTATTCCGCAAGTAATCCAAGAAGTAATCATTCCGTTTTTCAAAAGTATCTGTAATCTCATAAAATAAAATAAAATTCTGGTAAAGTAACTGATTAGTTCGTTTATTTGTAATCAGATGACACGTAATCCATTACTCCTCAACCCTGGATATAAACCTGTAGCATAATATTTACTTGTACAATTCATTAATCATTTTCCATGAGTGTACAAAACATTATGAACACCTGCTATTTCCATGACATAGACTGACCAGGTGAATCCAGGTGAAAGCTATGATCCCTTATTGATGTCACTTGTTAAATCCACTTCAATCAGTGTAGATGAAGGGGAGGAGACAGGTTAAAGAAGGATGTTTAAGCCTTGAGCCAATACAGTGGGGGGAAAAAGTATTTAGTCAGCCACCAATTGTGCAAGTTCTCCCACTTAAAAAGATGAGAGAGGCCTGTAATTTTCATCATAGGTACACGTCAACTATGACAGACAAAATGAGAAAAAAAAATCCAGAAAATCACATTGTAGGATTTTTAATGAATTTATTTGCAAATTATGGTGGAAAATAAGTATTTGGTCAATAACAAAAGTTTCTCAATACTTTGTTATATACCCTTTGTTGGCAATGACACAGGTCAAAGGTTTTCTGTACGTCTTCACAAGGTTTTCACACACTGTTGCTGGTATTTTGGCCCATTCCTCCATGCAGATCTCCTCTAGAGCAGTGATGTTTTGGGGCTGTCGCTGGGCAACACGGACTTTCAACTCCCTCCAAAGATTTTCTATGGGGTTGAGATCTGGAGACTGGCTAGGCCACTCCAGGACCTTGAAATGCTTCTTACGAAGCCACTCCTTCGTTGCCCGGGCGGTGTGTTTGGGATCATTGTCATGCTGAAAGACCCAGCCACGTTTCATCTTCAATGCCCTTGCTGATGGAAGGAGGTTTTCACTCAAAATCTCACGATACATGGCCCCATTCATTCTTTCCTTTACACGGATCAGTCGTCCTGGTCCCTTTGCAGAAAAACAGCCCCAAAGCATGATGTTTCCACCCCCATGCTTCACAGTAGGTATGGTGTTCTTTGGATGCAACTCAGCATTCTTTGTCCTCCAAACACGACGAGTTGAGTTTTTACCAAAAAGTTCTATTTTGGTTTCATCTGACCATATGACATTCTCCCAATCCTCTTCTGGATCATCCAAATGCACTCTAGCAAACTTCAGACGGGCCTGGACATGTACTGGCTTAAGCAGGGGGACACGTCTGGCACTGCAGGATTTGAGTCCCTGGCGGCGTAGTGTGTTACTGATGGTAGGCTTTGTTACTTTGGTCCCAGCTCTCTGCAGGTCATTCACTAGGTCCCCCCGTGTGGTTCTGGGATTTTTGCTCACCGTTCTTGTGATCATTTTGACCCCACAGGGTGAGATCTTGCGTGGAGCCCCAGATCGAGGGAGATTATCAGTGGTCTTGTATGTCTTCCATTTCCTAATAATTGCTCCCACAGTTGATTTCTTCAAACCAAGCTGCTTACCTATTGCAGATTCAGTCTTCCCAGCCTGGTGCAGGTCTACAATTTTGTTTCTGGTGTCCTTTGACAGCTCTTTGGTCTTGGCCATAGTGGAGTTTGGAGTGTGACTGTTTGAGGTTGTGGACAGGTGTCTTTTATACTGATAACAAGTTCAAACAGGTGCCATTAATACAGGTAACGAGTGGAGGACAGAGGAGCCTCTTAAAGAAGAAGTTACAGGTCTGTGAGAGCCAGAAATCTTGCTTGTTTGTAGGTGACCAAATACTTATTTTCCTTATAAATTCATTAAAAATCCTACAATGTGATTTTCTGGATTTTTTTCTTCTCATTTTGTCTGTCATAGTTGACGTGTACCTATGATGAAAATTACAGGCCTCTCTCATCTTTTTAAGTGGGAGAACTTGCACAATTGGTGGCTGACTAAATAGTTTTTTCCCCCACTGTAGATACATGGATTGTGTAAGTGTGCCATTCAGAGATGCCTTTGAACGGGGTATGGTAGTAGGTGTCAGGTGCACCGGTTTGTGTCAAGAACAGCAACGCTGCTTGGTTTTTCACACTCGACAGTTTCCCATGTGTATCAAGAATGGTCCACCACCCAAAGGACATCCAGCCAACTTGACATAACTGTAGGAAGCATTGGAGTCAACATGGGCCAGCATCCCTGTGGAACGCTTTCTACACCTTGTAGAGTCCATGACCCGACTAATTGAGGCTGTTCTGAGGGCAAAAGGGAGGAGAGGTGCAACTCAATATTAGGAAGGTATTCTTAATGTTTTGTACACTCAGTGTATATGAATGTTTAATGAGAACCAAAACCTGAGATTCATAGAACGACTAGCGACTTGACTCAAGTCCGAGTGATGGTTCGTTCGGTGTAACAATTTCATTAGTCAATACTCATTGCTGCTTAAAAACAGAGCTCAGCAGTTTCATAGATTATATTTTTAAAAAATGGAGATTGTTTTTTGAAATCATTTCAATGATTTATTTAATCATGACACGACTACTATGCACAGGTACTGTTGAATCAGGTGGTGACATTCCACACAGACACAGAGAACGTCAGCGATGAACTTCAGAGAAAAAAAATTAAGTGCTTATGAATGAGAGACAGAATAATATGACATATACAATAATACAAATAAAAAGTTATTCAAATAGTATATTTAGTGTAAAAACAACAAGCGTCCCAACTCAACAGATTGACATAAAAAAAGGGCGTTGATCACAATCTTACATTTACATCATTTAGCAGACGCTCTTATCCAGAGCGACTTGCAAATTAACACTTAGCTTAGCTTTTCTCCCCCTCCCAGAACCTGAACGTAAAGGACTAATGCACTTCTATGTGTGGACTCCCACTGATGACGGCCTGACAGTCTAAACCTTTGTTTTTGGCCCTCAGTCTAAATGAAGAAAATAGAATGCACATATTTTTGAAAATCTTTGTTGCTGTTGTTGTTGTTGTTGTTGTTGTTGTGCAGACCCTCTACTAAAGGAAACTCTCAAGGCAAACAGCACCTAGTTAGCATCCATCTTCCATAACTGTGGTGGGGATCAGAGAAGAGGAACATAGATACATTACACTATGCTAGCAAGCACAGGAATCCCCTTTTAACAGTAGAGACAGAAGTAGAGCGAGTAACCATATAAATAATAATCTCTCTGGTTTCCAGGATATAGATTAAGTCTAGTCCAAAGGCCATATGTGTGAAGCGTTTTAAGGTAGGAGTGCTGATTTATGGTTAGCTTTGCCTTTTAGATCCCAATAAATAAGGTTACATGGACAGGGACCTTAATCTGTGTCCGGGAAACTGGCCCTAAATGTTTTACGCGACATAGCGGTGGTTAAAGGTGCAATCTGCAGTTCAAACAACAACAAAAATGGCAGATTGCCATTTTAAAGGTGCCAGTAATGCCAGTGAGGCCTCTCCAGATCACTCTCAACTCTAGGTAGGGCTAGAGGCATGGGTCTCTCTACTCTGGCTAGAGGCATGGGTCTCTCCACTCTGGGTAGAGGCATGGGTCTCTCCACTCTAGGATCTGGCCTGGGCCTTCCCGTCCTGGGTGATTGGTTTGGTCTGTCCAAGCTGTCCGTGCTGGATGACTGCTTAGGTCTGCCTAGCTGGCGGGTCGGTCCGATGGGCTTGGGAGCGTGGGTCCTCTGGTGCTGCCGGAGCCCCTGTAGATAATAGAAGCTCTTCCCACACTCCTCACACTGATGGGGCTTCTCTCCCGTGTGGACTCTGAGGTGAACCTTGAGGTCAAATTCCCTGAAGTAACTCTTCCCACAGACGGCGCAGAGGTGGCTCTTCTGTCCGGTGTGCATACGGAAGTGGCATGTCAGTTGGGATTGTTGCTTGAATCTCTTTCCGCACTCGGGGCAGAGGTGGGGTCTCTCTCCCCGGTGCGCGCTCTCATGCTTCTTTAGCCCTTCTTCTGTGATAAAGCCCTTCCCACACTCAGAGCATTGGTAAGGCCTTTCCCCGGTGTGCATTCGCATGTGGATCTTAACGTAGTAGTTACTGCGGAACCTCTTCCCACAGTCAGGGCAGGGGAAAGGCTTCTTGTTATTGTGAGCCAACTGGTGTTCTTCTAACTGAGTCTTCTCAGAGAACTCCTCCCCACACAGAGAACAGAAGAAAGAGGTGTCCTGAGATGTCACGTGTTTCTGTAGTGATGACAGATCTGGACAGTTGAAGTTCTCCTGAGCTGCGGTGACGATGTGTTCAGGACCTCTTGATGTAGAGGGAGCTAACCCACCAGCAGACAACAAACTGGGGTTCCCATCTGCAGGGAAGATCAAGACAAAGTTAGAGATTCCCCTATATCAGGGCTCTCCGAACCTGTTCCTCTGAGAGCTACCGTCCTGTAGGTTATCGTACCAACCCTAATCTAGCGCACCTGATTCTAATAATTAGCTGGTTGATAAGATGAATCAGGTTACTTACAACTGGGGTTGGAGCAAAAACCTCCAGGAGGGTAGCTCTCGAGGAACAGGGTTGGAGTTAAAACCTCCAGGAGGGTAGCTCTCGAGGAACAGGGTTGGAGTTAAAACCTCCAGGAGGGTAGCTCTCGAGGAACAGGGTTGGAGTTAAAACCTCCAGGAGGGTAGCTCTCCAGGAACAGGGTTGGAGTATAAACCTCCAGGAGGATAGTTCTCCAGGAACAGGGTTGGAGTTAAAACCTACAGGAGGGTAGCTCTCCAGGAACAGGGTTGGAGTATAAACCTCCAGGAGGGTAGTTCTCCAGGAACAGGGTTGGAGTTAAAACCTACAGGAGGGTAGTTCTCCAGGAACAGGGTTGGAGTATAAACCTCCAGGAGGGTAGTTCTCAAGGAACAGGGTTGGGGAACCCTCCCCTATATTGTGCACTACTTTTGAACAGGGCCCTTAGAGCGCCAAAAAAAAGTAGTGCACTTTGTAGGGAATGGGGTGCCATTTGGGATGCACACAAATGTTAAGTCAAGTCAAGTAATTCAGACCAACTAAGCTCTTCATAGCCTGGTTCCAGATCTATCTGTGCTCTTGCTAACTCCACTGCTGTCATTGTTTGGCGTGACAGGGAGTTGGCATGTTAGCACCAACAGACTGGCACCCAGGCTGCTTTTACAACAGCATACATATACAAAACAAATGTCAACGTTAAGCTGTATTTTCACATAAATCTTATAGGGAAATTTCACAAAATTTTCAACCTCATATTCATCATCCCAAGCACCACCCCAACATCAACATACAGTGCCTTCAGAAAGTATTCACACCCCTTGACTTTTTCCACATTTTATTGTGTTACAGGCTGAATTTAAAATTGATTAAATGTAGATTTTCTGTCACTGGCCTACAAACAATAACCCTTAATGTCAAAGTGGAATTATGTCTTTAGAAATTTTTAGAAATTCATTAAAAATGAAAAGCTGAAATGTCTTAAGTCAATAAGTAATACAACCCCTTTGTTATGGCAAGCCTAAATAAATTCAGGAGTAGAAATGTGCTTAATAAGTCACATAATAAGTTGCATAGACTCACTCTGTGTGCAATAATAGTGTTTAACATGATTTTTGAATGACTACCTCATCTCTGTACCTCACACATACAATTATCTGTAAGGTCCCTCAGTCGAGCAGTGAATTTCAAACACAGATTCAACCACAAAGACCAGGGAGATTTTCCAATGCCTCCCAAAGAAGGGCACCTATTGGTAGATGGGTACACAAAAAAGAGCAGACATTGAATATCCCTTAGAGCATGATGAAGTTATTAATTACACTTTAAATTCTTCTCCCACTTTGACTAGAGGATTATGTTTAGATCGTGACAATTAAACCCATTTTAATCCCACCTTGTAACACAACAAAATGTGAAAACATTCAAGGGGTGTGAATTCTTTCTGAAGGCACTGTATGCGGACCACAACATGTCGCTGAACGTCTTACCCAAAAAGTCTCTCTCACCTCTGTGTGTTTTCATGTGTGTTTTCAGGTTCCCTGGCTGAGTGAAACCCTTCCCGCACAGGGAGCAACAGTAAGGCTTCTCTCCGGTGTGTATTCTCATGTGTAGCTTCAGTTTGGACGCGTCGGACAGTTCTTTCCCACAGGTCGGACATCGGTGAATCCTCTTCCCTCGCCCCCGGCGCTGTCCTGTAGCCGGACCTCCTGCCTCACCAGAGAACACACCCAGACTCTCCTCTGGGGAAGAAAGACACAGTTGGTGGGTCTCTCAAACGGCACCTTATATTCCCTGTAATAATAGTGCACTACTTTCGGACAAGAGCCTAAAGGGTGCACTATCTAGGGAACAGGGTGCCGTTTGAGACACAGTCACTCACAGTGAATTCACTAATAACCCGTCAAAAGGGTAATAACAGTATTCCAGTCGTGATGTAGCCATCGTGAGTCTGCCATAGGCTGTCTTACCGGTGTGCTCTGTCTGATGTCTCTGCAGCAGTTCTTTGTTGTTGAACGGCGCTCCACACACGTAGCAGTTGTAATCTAGATGTGTCTGCAGGTGTAGCAACAGCTCATATTCCCGGGGGAATCCCTCTCCACATTTAAAGCAGCGGCGGTTGTTAAACCTCTTGGTTTTGGGCCGCTTCCGTTGGCCTTCTCCTTTGACTCTGGTTCTCTGTTTCGCCCGTTGTTTCTTCCGGTGTTTTCTAGGTGCCCCTGCTGTAGAGGGACCGCCGGCACCAGTCTTGGCTGTGTGACAAAGAGAACGGGTTAAAGAATTGGCCCGATAGATTGTCCGTGTCCCAAATGGTAACGCTAATCCCTATTTAGGGTGCTACTTTTGAACAGAGCCCTATATAAGGGACAGGGTGCCATTTTGAACAGCAGCCAAGTTAACAGGTTATACCGTAATTTTCTGACTATAAGCCGCGCCTTTTTTCCAATTTTTCGACCCTGCGGCTTATATAACGGTGCGGCTAATCTATGGATTTTTACAGCTAACGGCCACTAGAAGACCTCCTAAATCTATGGATTTTACAGATTACAGTCCACCAACTTTAACTCTATGGACTCTATGACCGGTCCGCGCCCCCCACCTTTAAGCGGCGGGCTCCAGCAGGAAAAGCTGGAGGCCGGAAAAGAGTGAGACAGGTAGCGCGCAAAAGTAAAAGTGGAACCGAGAGTGGTACGAGAGACAGAACGAGAGACAGAACGAGAGCAAGACAGACAGACATTATGAGAGCGAGACAGTTTGTCTCTTTCCCGACAATCCCCTCTGTGCACGAACCCTTACATATGGTAATTAAACATTAAAACACCTGCAGCTTATAGTCCAGTGCGGCTTATATATGTACGCATCATTCAATATCATTCAATTTAGCTGCTGCGGCTTATACTCCGGTGCGCCTTATAGTGCGGAAAATCCGGTAGTTGAATGATTTTCTGTTGACAGGGTGCCATTTTGAACGCAGCCAAATTAACAGGTTATAGTTGAATGATTGTCTGTTGACAGGGTGCCATTTTGAACGCAGCCAAGTTAACAGATTATAGTTGAATGATTTTCTGTTGACAGGGTGCCATTTTGAACGCAGCCAAGTTAACAGGTTATAGTTGAATGATTTTCTGTTGACAGGGTGCCATTTTGAACGCAGCCAAGTTAACAGGTTATAGTTGAATGATTGTCTGTTGACAGGGTGCCATTTTGAACGCAGCCAAGTTAACAGGTTATAGTTGAATGATTTTCTGTTGACAGGGTGCCATTTTGAACGCAGCCAAGTTAACAGGTTATAGTTGAATGATTTTCTGTTGACAGGGTGCCATTTTGATATAGTTGAATGATTTTCTGTTGACAGGGTGCCATTTTGAACGCAGCCAAATTAACAGGGTATATTTGAATGATTTTCTGTTGACAGGGTGCCATTTTGAACGCAGCCAAATTAACAGGCTATAGTTGAATGATTTTCTGTTGACAGGGTGCCATTTTGAACGCAGCCAAATTAACAGGCTATAGTTGAATGATTTTCTGTTGACAGGGTGCCATTTTGAACGCAGCCAAATTAACAGGGTATATTTGAATGATTTTCTGTTGACAGGGTGCCATTTTGAACGCAGCCAAATTAACAGGTTATAGTTGATTGATTTTCTGTTGACAGGGTGCCATTTTGAACGCAGCCAAATTAACAGGTTATAGTTGAATGATTTTCTGTTGACGTTCTACCTCCACTTACCAAGACGAGGAGCAGGATTCCAACTGGCGTCGTCGTCTTCAGAATTACCCGAACCATCAACGTTCACATCTTCTTCTTCTTCTTCTTCTTCTTCCTCCTCCTCCTCTTCTTCTTCAGCGCTGGCCTTCAACCGAGGTGTCTGAGTGGACGCCTTGCTGCCATGGTTTGGATCAGGTCCCTGGGACTCTCTAGCTTTGGGGCTGGATTGGTCACCAGGATCCTACAGTGAAAACACAACAGTCATTAGTAAAGTGAGAATAGAATGTTTGTGGTAAGGTTCCCCAGGGTAGCGTCCTCCTCGGCCCCCTTCTGTTCAAACAGGAAGTGTATATGTAGCAGATTTTGAGTGGCGGTTCGCTAAATCTATGCCTAACTTTAACCTCACCCTAGCTAACCATAAACACAAACCTGAACCAATTCCAGAAGCGTTTAGATAGCGATAGCATTAGCCTACAGCAAACCAAACCACAGCATTAGCCTACAGCAAACCAAACCACAGCATTAGCCTACAGCAAACCAAACCACAGCATTAGCCTACAGCAAACCAAACCACAGCATTAGCCTACAGCAAACCAAACCACAGCATTAGCCTACAGCAAACCAAACCACAGCATTAGCCTACAGCAAACCAAACCACAGCATTAGCCTACAGCAAACCAAACCACAGCATTAGCCTACAGGAAACCAAACCACAGCACTAGCCTACAGCAAACCAAACCACAGCATTAGCCTACAGCAAACCAAACCACAGCATTAGCCTACAGCAAACCAAACCACGTACCTTTCTGATAAGGGATGTTGGAAGACCACTTCTTCCACTGTAGCGAGGGCCTGTGGGGATGGGTGGGGTTGGTTCCACTATGGGCTTCCCAGGATGCATCTGCTGCATGTGTGACCGGATGCCTGCTCTGTACCTGTAGCTCTTGCCACACTCATGGCACTGGTAGGGCTTCTCTCCGGAGTGGACTCTGAGATGCACCCGGAGGTCAAACTCTCTGGCGAAACTCTTCCCACACAGGAAGCAGAGATGGCTCCTCTCTCCAGTGTGGATCTTGAAGTGACAGGTCAGCTGGGATTGTTGTTTGAAACACTTGCCACACGCAGGGCATCGGTACGGCCTCTCTCCTCGGTGAGCGCTCTCGTGCTTCTTGAGCCCCTCCGCTGACATGAAACTCTTATCACACTGGGCGCAGTGGTAAGAGATCTTCCCACTGTGGATCTTCTGGTGGATCTTGATGTAACTCTTGCTGGAGAATCTCTTCCCACAGTCTGGACAGGGGTAAGGCTTCTCTGGTTTCTCATGGGAGTGGGCGATCACCAGGTGATCATCCAGAAGGCCTTTCTGAGAGAACTCTGCCCCGCAGAGAGGGCACTGCGGGTTAGACTGGTTCTCTCCAGTGTGAGTTCTCATGTGTATCTGTAGAGCTGATGGAGTTTGGCATTCCTCGCCACACTCTAGGCAGTGGTGGTTCTCCTTAGCTGTGTGGTTGTCATGGTATTGGTCCGGGACTCCTGTTGGCTTAACTGTGTGGTTGTCATGGTATTGGTCAGGGACTCCTGTTGGCTTAGCTGTGTGGTTGTCATAGTATTGGTCAGGGAATCCTGTTGGCTTAACTGTGTGGTTGTCATAGTATTGGTCAGGGACTCCTATTGGCTTAACTGTGTGGTTGTCATAGTATTGGTCAGGGACTCCTGTTGGCTTAGCTGTGTGGTTGTCATGGTATTGGTCAGGGACTCCTATTGTAGGAAGCCTCTCCACGATGTCAGGCCAGAAACTGGGATTCCTGACTTCTCCTGCATGGGGGAAGATAAAGTGTTAGTTCATGTTAAGTCTAACCAGACAATGACTGGGGCCAGGACGATACCAGTATCGCCCTACTCATTAGTATCAAGGAAATAAAACACCAAGCGGATTTAAAGACCAATGTGTAATTCATGCTTTAGTCACACCTTCTGCCTGAACTGACAACTCTTTAGTCACACCATCTGTCTACACTGACACCTCTTTAGTCACACCATCAGTCTACACTGACACCTCTTTAGTCACACCATCTGTCTACACTGACACCTCTTTAGTCACACCATCTGTCTACACTGACACCTCTTTAGTCACACCATCAGTCTACACTGACACCTCTTTAGTCACACCATCTGTCTACACTGACACCTCTTTAGTCACACCATCTGTCTACACTGACACCTCTTTAGTCACACCATCTGTCTTACTGACACCTCTTTAGTCACACCATCTGTCTATACTGACACCTCTTTAGTCACACCATCTGTCTACACTGACACCTCTTTAGTCACACCATCTGTCTACACTGACACCTCTTTAGTCACACCATCTACAGAGGGGAGATTTGATACACTGCCGATTTTGAGGTTTTCCTACTTACAAAGCATGTAGAGGTCTGTAATTTTTTATCATAGGTACACTTCAACTGTGAGAGATGGAATCTAAAACAAAAATCCAGAAAATCACATTGTATGATTTTTAAGTAATTAATTTGCATTTTATTGCATGACATAAGTATTTGATACATCAGAAAAGCAGAACTTAATATTTGGTACAGAAACCTTTGTTTCAAATTACAGAGATCATACGTTTCCTGTAGGTCTTGAACAGGTTTGCACACACTGCAGCAGGGATTTTGGCCCACTCCTCCATACAGACCTTCTCCAGATCCTTCAGGTTTCAGGGCTGTCGCTGGGCAATACGGACTTTCAGCTCCCTTCAAAGATGTTCTATTGGGTTCAGGTCTGGAGACTGGCTAGGCCACTCCAGGACCTTGAGATGCTTCTTACGGAGCCACTTCTTAGTTGCCCTGGCTGTGTGTTTCGGGTCGTTGTCATGCTGGAAGACCCAGACACGACCCATCTACAATGCTCTTACTGAGGGAAGGAGGTTGTTGGCCAAGATCTTGCGATACATGGCCCCATCCATCCTCCCCTCAATACGGTGCAGTCGTCCTGTCCCCTTTGTAGAAAAGCATCCCCAAAGAATGATGTTTCCACCTCCATGCTTCACGGTTGGGATGGTGTTCTTGGGGTTGTACTCATCCTTCTTCTTCCTCCAAACACGCGAGTGGAGTTTAGACCAAAAAGCTTTATTTTTGTCTCATCAGACCACATGCCCTTCTCCCATTCCTCCTCTGGATCATCCAGATGGTCATTGGCAAACTTCAGACGGGCCTGGACATGCGCTGGCTTGAGCAGGGGGACCTTGCGTGCGCTGCAGGATTTTAATCCATGACGGCGTAGTGTATTACTAATGGTTTTCTTTGAGACTGTGGTCCCAGCTCTCTTCAGGTCATTGACCAGGTCCTGCCGTGTAGTTCTGGGCTGATCCCTCACCTTCCTCATGATCATTGATGCCCCACGAGGTGAGATCTTGCATGGAGCCCCAGACCGAGGGTGATTGACCGTCATCTTGAACTTCTTCCATTTTCTAATAATTGCACCAACAGTTGTTGCCTTCTCACCAAGCTGCTTGCATATTGTCCTGTAGCCCATCCCAGCCTTGTGCAGGTCTACAATTTTATCCCTGATGTCCTTACACAGCTCTCTGGTCTTGGCCATTGTGGAGAGGTTGGAGTCTGTTTGATTGAGTGTGTGGACAGGTGTCTTTTATACAGGTAACGAGTTCAAACAGGTGCAGTTAATACATGTAATGAGTGGAGAACAGGAGGGCTTCTTAAAGAAAAACTAACAGGTCTGTGAGAGCCGGAATTCTTACTGGTTGGTAGGTGATCAAATACTTATGTCATGCAATAAAATGCAAATGAATTACTTAAAAATCATACAATGTGATTCTCTGGATTTTTGTTTTAGATTCCGTCTCTCACAGTTGAAGTGTACATATGATAAAAATTACAGACCTCTACATGCTTTGTAAGTAGGAAAACCTGCAAAATCGCCAGTGTATCAAATACTTGTTCTCCCCACTGTATCTACACGGACACCTCTTTAGTCACACCATCTGTCTACACTGACACCTCTTTAGTCACACCATCTGTCTCTACTGACACCTCTTTAGTCACACCATCTGTCTACACTGACACCTCTTTAGTCACACCATCTGTCTCTACTGACAACTCTTTAGTCACACCATCTGTCTCTACTGACACCTCTCTAGTCACACCATCTGTCTACACTGACACCTCTTTAGTCACACCATCTGTATACACTGACACCTCTTTAGTCACACCATCTGTCTCTACTGACACCTCTTTAGTCACACCATCTGTCTCTACTGACACCTCTTTAGTCACACCATCTGTCTCTACTGACACCTCTTTAGTCACACCATCTGTCTCTACTGACACCTCTTTAGTCACACCATCTGTCTCTACTGACACCTCTTTAGTCACACCATCTGTCTCTACTGACACCTCTTTAGTCACACCATCTGTCTACACTGACACCTCTTTAGTCACACCATCTGTCTACACTGACACCTCTTTAGTCACACCATCTGTCTACACTGACACCTCTTTAGTCACACCATCTGTCTACACTGACACCTCTTTAGTTACACCATCTGTCTACACTGACACCTCTTTAGTCACACCATCTGTCTACACTGACACCTCTTTAGTCACACCATCTGTCTACACTGACACCTCTTTAGTCACACCATCTGTCTACACCTCTTTTACTTCTATCAGAACTACAAGCATTTATCAGTGTGTAATATCTGACATTTTGTTTTTACAACAGTGAAATTATCAGTGTGAAATATCTAAAGCTTAAAGGGATACTTTGGGATTTTGGCAATGAGGCCCTTTATCTACTCGTGGATACCATCTGTATGTCTCTGTGTCCAGTGTGAAGGAAGTTAGAGGTAGTTTTGTGAGCCAATGCTAACTAGCGTTAGCGCTACGCTAGTTAGCAACTTCCTTCAAACTGCACGCAGAGACATAAAAATGGTATCCACAAGTTTATCTGACTCTGGGGAAGTAGATAAAGGGCCTCATTGCCAATATCCCGAAGTATCCCTTTAAGAGGACAAATGTATTTCCAAAGTTCGGTCACTGGGAAGAGGTATGAGTTCTCACCTTTGTGCACACTCTGGTGTATTTTCAGATTTCCTTTCTGAGCGAATCTCTTCCCACACAAAGAGCAGTGGAAAGGCTTCTCTCCTGTGTGTGTCCGCTCGTGCATCATGAGTTTATGTGCATCGGATGCTTCGTATCCACACGTTAAGCAGCGGTGAACCTTCTTGGTTTTCAACATGGCCGTTCCATCTATATGAATGGTCTGGTGTAAGAGCATGTCGTAGATACGGGAGAATCCCTCTCCACATTTAAAGCAGCGATGGGTCACCTTAGCTTTCTTCTGCTTCGGTTTCTTTTCCTTCTTTGGTTTCTCTTCTTTCTTCGGCTGCTTTTGTTCTGGACCCTTCTTCCGTTTGCTCCCCTGTTTCTTCTGTTTCTCCCGGCGGTGTTGTTCCAGCGCTCCTGGTGTTGAGGGAGTTCCCTCACTACCGTGGCAGGAGTTAGGACTCATTCCTGTGGAGAGAAGAGAGTTCAGTGGGTCAAATAGGTCCATCACTAATGGTATGTAGCGTACATGCTATTGTGTGGAACCAGCGGCCAGGTATTCCCTATATGGTGCACTACTTTTGACCAGAGCCCTATGTCCGGAGTCTGGTGTAGCAGTCTAAGCTCCTGACTCCAGCCTACATACGTATACCCCCGGGGGACGGACAGATTGGTTAGATAAATCTGTCTCCCTCTCTACATTACACTATATAGGGAATAGGGTGCCATTTGGGACGTCCACGTTATTTTAACCTCACCTTTCTGTCACCACTTACCAAGATGAGGAGTATCCCAGGTAGCTTCTTCTACTACAGAATTCAACAGATCACCAACTTCCTCTTCCTCCTCTTCTTCATCTTCACCCTCTTCTTCCTCTTCCTCCTCCCACTCTTCTTCTTCCTCCTCCTCTTCCTCATCCTCCTCCTCCTCCTCCTCCTCCTCCTCCTCTACAATATGAGCGTTCATCCCAGGTGTTTGAGTGCTGTCCTCCTCATGGTTTGGATCAGGACCCTGAGACACTGTAGACCCCGATTGATCACCGGGATCCTAGAATAAAAACATCCCCGTTTGTAATAAAGTTAGAACGGAATGCAAACCATGTTTATTTGCTCATTACAAAGGAACAAAAAAAAGGGTTCAATGGAATGGTAAAAAATAAAAGATATATGTTTATAATGTTAACAATGGTATCTCATATGAAATGTTTATCATCATTTTCTCCCACCTTGTTGATGTGTGATGTAGGGGGACTTCCTTCACTACCAGAGCCATGGACAGGACTCTCTCCTGTGGAGATAGGTTGGTATTACTGGTTATAATGACACTACCAGAGCCATGGACAGGACTCTCTCCTGTGGAGATAGGTTGGTATTACTGGTTATAATGACACTACCAGAGCCATGGACAGGACTCTCTCCTGTGGAGATAGGTTGGTATTACTGGTTATAATAATACACTACCAGACCATGGACAGGACTCTCTCCTGTGGAGATAGGTTGGTATTACTGGTATAATACACTACCAGACCATGGACAGGACTCTCTCCTGTGGAGATAGGTTGGTATTACTGGTTATAATGACACTACCAGAGCCATGGACAGGACTCTCTCCTGTGGAGATAGGTTGGTATTACTGGTTATATATAATGACACTACCAGAGCCATGGACAGGACTCTCTCCTGTGGAGATAGGTTGGTATTACTGGTTATAATAACACTACCAGACCATGGACAGGACTCTCTCCTGTGGAGATAGGTTGGTATTACTGGTTATATATAATGACACTACCAGAGCCATGGACAGGACTCTCTCCTGTGGAGATAGGTTGGTATTACTGGTTATATATAATGACACTACCAGAGCCATGGACAGGACTCTCTCCTGTGGAGATAGGTTGGTATTACTGGTTATAATGACACTACCAGAGCCATGGACAGGACTCTCTCCTGTGGAGATTATGGGATAGATCAGGGGTTCTCAAACCTTTGCACCTGCCACATCTATCTCTATGGGAACAAGCCCTGTTGATGACACAAACTGTTCACACCCCTCTTGTTTGGCGGAGAGAACATGTTGCAGGTTTAAAGCTTAGTTCCTGCAATTCTACACATTCTGTCATGGGGTGCAGAGAAAAATGTTGCAGTTTTGTCTAATGTGTATTCATGTGATATTTGAGTGACACAAACTTTACAACAAAATATATGAGCTAAAAAAAACTATCTAAAAAACGTTAGCTGACATGGGCTAGTTGATCTGGACATTTCTGACAAGTGACAAATACAGTGGGGGAAAAAAGTATTTAGTCAGCCACCAATTGTGCAATTTCTCCCACTTAAAAAGATGAGAGAGGCCTGTAATTTTCATCATAGGTACACGTCAACTATGACAGACAAAATGAGATTTTTTTTTCTCCTGAAAATCACATTGTAGGATTTTTTATGAATTTATTTGCAAATTATGGTGGAAAATAAGTATTTGGTCACCTACAAACAAGCAAGATTTCTGGCTCTCACGGACCTGTAACTTCTTCTTTAAGAGGCTCCTCTGTCCTCCACTCATTACCTGTATTAATGGCACCTGTTTGAACTTGTTATCAGTATAAAAGACACCTGTCCACAACCTCAAACAGTCACACTCCAAACTCCACTATGGCCAAGACCAAAGAGCTGTCAAAGGACACCAGAAACAAAATTGTAGACCTGCACCAGGCTGGGAAGACTGAATCTGCAATAGGTAAGCAGCTTGGTTTGAAGAAATCAACTGTGGGAGCAATTATTAGGAAATGGAAGACATACAAGACCACTGATAATCTCCTTCGATCTGGGGCTCCACGCAAGATCTCACCCCGTGGTTCAAAATGATCACAAGAACGGTGAGCAAAAATCCCAGAACCACACGGGGGGACCTAGTGAATGACCTGCAGAGAGCTGGGACCAAAGTAGCAAAGCTTACCATCAGTAACACACTACGCCGCCAGGGACTCAAATCCTGCAGTGCCAGACGTGTCCCCCTGCTTAAGCCAGTACATGTCCAGGCCCGTCTGAAGTTTGCTAGAGTGCATTTGGATGATCCAGAAGAGGATTGGGAGAATGTCATATGGTCAGATGAAACCAAAATATAACTTTTTGGTAAAAACTCAACTCGTCGTGTTTGGAGGACAAAGAATGCTGAGTTGCATCCAAAGAACACCATACCTACTGTGAAACATGGGGGTGGAAACATCATGCTTTGGGGCTGTTTTTCTGCAAAGGGACCAGGACGACTGATCCGTGTAAAGGAAAGAATGAATGGGGCCATGTATCGTGAGATTTTGAGTGAAAACCTCCTTCCATCAGCAAGGGCATTGAAGATGAAATGTGGCTGGGTCTTTCAGCTTGACAATGACCCCAAACACACCGCCCGGGCAACGAAGGAGTGGCTTCGTAAGAAGCATTTCAAGGTCCTGGAGTGGCCTAGCCAGTCTCCAGATCTCAACCCCATAGAAAATCTTTGGAGGGAGTTGAAAGTCCGTGTTGCCCAGCGACAGCCCCAAAACATCACTGCTCTAGAGGAGATCTGCATGGAGGAATGGGCCAAAATACCAGCAACAGTGTGTGAAAACCTTGTGAAGACTTACAGAAAACGTTTGACCTGTGTCATTGCCAACAAAGGGTATATAACAAAGTATTGAGAAACTTTTGTTATTGACCAAATACTTATTTTCCACCATAATTTGCAAATAAATTCATAAAAAATCCTACAATGTGATTTTCTGGATTTTGTTTCTCATTTTGTCTGTCATAGTTGACGTGTACCTATAATGAAAATTACAGGCCTCTCTCATCTTTTTAAGTGGGAGAACTTGCACAATTGGCGGCTGACTAAATACTTTTTTTCCCCCACTGTAGCTCTCTAAGGTATGCAATGACTGACATGACAAGAGGAACTGATGATGCACTACTCAATTTAGAGATTGCAGCTTGTGCATTCTACAATTACAACTTTCAAGAGTAAGTTGAAAGCCGGACTGAGTTCCTTAAAACTCAGTCCCACAGTTTGGGAACCACTGGGTTAGATAATGAGACATAGTATTCACTCTATTACTGTGTAACTAAAGAACAGTCAGCGATCAGCCTCCACTTACCATGTTGAACAGAATCCCAGTCAACTTCTTCTCCATCAGAATTAATCAGCCCTCCAACTTCCTCTGCATCATCTGTCGCTCCCTCTTCATCCTCCTCCTCCTCTTCCTTCTCCTCTTCCACTTTAGCCTTCAGCCCCAGTGTTTGACAGAGGTCCTGTAGGTTATCAGATACCATCTCCTGCCCCTGTGACGTGTTCTCCTCCTCACAGTGGATGGGTTTCTCTGCTTCTGTTGTGTGTGACCGCTGGTGCACATTCAAACCGTCCTTTTGTAGCAAACTTCTTCCCACAGTCGGGGCAGGGGTATGGCTTCTTTCCTGTGTGGATTGTCATGTGGATCTGTAGAGATGATGATGTTTTGAAATGCTTCCCACATTCTGAGCAGCAGTGAGACGACGTCTTAGTTTTCGGATTCTCCTGGTGTTGTTCAGGTTCTGCGGCTGACGCAGAGAGACTCTCCTCAACTTTTTTGCGGTGTGATTGCTGGTGTACTTCTTTCAAACTTTGAGAGTCCGGTTTCTCTCCTGTGTGTTGCAGCTGGTGTCTTTTCAAGGATGTACAGAAGGTAAACCTCTTGTCACACTCGGAGCAGGCGTAAGGCTTCTCTCCAGTGTGCAGTTTCTGGTGTTGTTTAAGATATGCTTTCTGAGTGAAGCCCTTCTTACAGATGGGGCAGGAGAAAGGCTTCTCTCCTGTGTGGGAGAGCTGGTGGGCAGTCAGGTTGGCTTTCTGGGTGAAGCACTTGCCACAGACAGAGCAGGAGAAAGGTTTCTCACCAGTGTGCACTAGCATGTGTTGGTTCAAATTTCCCTTTTGGTTGAAGCTCTTCTCACACACGGAACATTTGTAAGACTTCTCCCCGGTGTGTTTCAGCTCATGTGATTTCAAGGTGTGTAGATAGGTATAACTCTTACCACACACGGAGCAGGAGTGAGGCTTTTCCCCCGTGTGTGTCAGCAGGTGTCTGCGTAGTTTGTAGGCGCTAGAGAACTCTCTTCCACACTCCAGGCAGCAGTTCTTTGCCTGTTCAGGATCTCCCGATATAGAGGGACTGCCCTCCCCATTAGAACAGTGGAACCGCTGGTGTGTCTTCAGATGTTCCTCCCGAGTGAAACTCTTCCCACAGTCAGAACAGAAGCAGGGCCTCTCTCCTGTGTGAGTCAGAAGGTGTCGTTGTAGTTTAGATGGACAGGGGAACTCCTTCCCACAGTCCAGGCAGCTGTAGCTCTTCCTGGGTTTGGGACTGGTCTTCTTCTCTCCTGTGTGTGTTGTGTTACAATGTTTTCTTAGATAATGCTGGGTAGGGAACTCCTCTCCACACTCTCTGCAACTGTGTGTGTTCTTAGCTGTGTGATTCTCCTCCTGTTGTTCAGGTTCTCCTGACGTAGAACTTGCCCCCTCACTTTCAGAATGATGGCTGGAACTCTCTCCTGTGGGGATATAGGAAGAGTCTGATCAGTATTGTTCGAGTGGAAACCAAGGGGTGTATTCATTAGTGTACCCCGTAACAAACGAAAACAAGTGTTTCTTATAGTCCCTTCCCTGTTTCGGACATTTGCTTCCTAATGAATACACCCCAGTTTGTGTAATTGTTGCACTGTTTTGTTACGCTGTACCCAACAACACAGTCAGATCGTTTAACATTCAGTCTGCCTCAGCCTCCACCTACTAAAGTCAACGGAAATGTCTCAACCAACTTACCTCTCAATCTTAGAAAGTCACTGAAGTAGTCAAGGCTCCTAGGAACCATCTCTGGAACGCTTGTGCTCTGGTTACCATGGATACAGTCAGGAACCAGTGGATTTGACTGGTTTGGCTGGGGTTCATCAAAATCCTGAGAAAAAGTGAAAGTACAGTCAGAGATAGGCCTAGAAGACAATGACATGTAATTGGCTTTGGTCTTAATAACGAACTGACTTGATAAAGAAAGTCCTAACTACTTGACAAATGCATATCAACTTCTACAAATGACAAGCTAGCCTTGAACAAGACAATGACAATGGAGTTGGCTAAAGCAGAGCCATGTATTTACGTATCTAGCTAACCAGCTATATCTATACCTACTGTATCTATGGCTTTGGGCTCAAGCACAAACAGGTCTTAGTTTCAGGGCAACTAGCTAGCTATAGCTGACTTCTCACCTCATACATTGCCGACGCAACAACAAAATAAACTGCCGAGAAAATGTTGTTCTCTGGCTGTAGCAAGCATTTAGTTCAAATTATGCATTGCTAAGAGAAATCACAGCTATTTCGCAAAAATAGATAGCAGGCTAAGTTAGCATAGCATAGAGAGCTAGCTAACGGTACCTAGCTAGCTAATAATGTTAGCTTAACTTGTCGTTTATAACTTTATGTCTGTCTGGTTTAATAGTTTAATATCTACGTTATCACTGGATGGAAATAATCTACGACAATTATAGTTTAGATATATTTGTAAATAACTCTAGCTACAATGCTTTGGAGTAAGGTTTATCTAAACAGGTTAGCTATATTGACAGAACTGCCTGGAACTACTTCCGGGGCAGCAACTAACCCGGAAGAAGAAAGTTGATGTCATCACTGGACGCCATTCCGCATAGTTGGATTTGGCCATTCTTTGATTTTATTAACGGTGAGGGGAGAATGGAAATATGTTAAAAGAAAGCTGGTCAGTAAAGCATTAGGTAGCGAGGTTGTCCAAACAATGTAGTTTGCTAGTCCTTACGGTTGCATAACTGTTAGCTAGGTACCTGCTCATCAGACCGCTAACGTTATATTTTTAGCTTGGTACTGTTAGCTAGCTAATAGTTCCTGCTAACTAATTTGAAGCTCTGCTTAAACAGAGTCGATGTAGGAGTAAAACGACGATTGTTTTCTATCTGGTAAGTACAGGCAGAGCGATTGTACATAGAATCAACGAGTTACTGTTGTACCTAATGTTCGTGTTACATTAGTTAGCTTCAAAATACAAGCCCTGATCGTGGGAAACCTTGACATTTAATATATATCGTAAACAAATGTTTTTATGATCACTAATATTGTTTTATTATATCGTTCTATTAAGTAAAAATGAAATAGTGAGAGTAAAATATTAAAAAATGTAAACGTTTGACGGACTTGACCAAAATAGTATGCCACTATACATATTGGACGCCTGTATAAAATGTTTTTGTCTTACACCATGTCGTCCTATTTACACAGGTGACCTCACAAGAATTTCCGCTGTTCTGGTGACAGGAAGAAGATCGGACCCTGAAATAACTTGTCTTTGACATAGACTCATAATGCAGCACTTCCTGAAGCTCCCAGTGTGGAGGGAGATCTAGGAGACCTGTGAATACACAGGAGAGACACCTCACCCTAGTGACAGCTCCATTCAATCATTTTATTATTTAGAAATAAACATTCTAAGTGCTGAGACAAAATGAGTTCTGAGAAGGAAACGTTGATGGATGAAATCGAAAAGAGTTTATGGAATTTAACTGAGGACAATTTACGCCACCTGTGTGAACGTCATGGACCAGATGGCAAAGACGGCTCCGAAATTAAAGGAATGAATCATCGCTTATTACGGCGTAAAATCATGGAGGAAATGTGGGACAATACGGATTCAATGAAATCAGAGGAGCAGGGAATGTCTTGGTTACTCCAACTGAAAGAGGACATCAGGAGGATACTGGAGGATGCTAGCAGCGCACTAATGAGTCCCAGCCAAGCCGATGATGCTGAAGGCTGTGACGAAGAATGGAACGAAGAGGGAGGAGCTAGGTTGCTTAGCAACACACCAGAAAAGAGACCCATCAGATCTCACACTGTTAAACAACACACAGTGAAAACTCACCACTGCTCGGATTGTGGGAAGCAATTCATTGTAAAATCAACCCTTAAACATCACCGGCTAGTTTTTCACACAGACCACCCTCACCGCTGTGGTCAATGTAAGAAAAGCTTCATAACTGCAGCAAGACTGGAATCGCACATTAAAACACGACACCCGCCAAGTGATCCTCTGAAGAACCCACATGTGTGCTCTAAATGCGGAAGGGCATTCCCTGTGGCTGCCTGTCTTAAGAGACACCTGAGAACTCATACTGGGGAGAAACCGTACGTCTGCCCTCAGTGTGGAAAGGACTACAGTGACTGTGGAAACTTGAGGAAACACATGAGAAGAACTCACCCAGGAGAGGAGACGGTTGTGGAGAGTTTCGCCACTCAGAGGAGCATCCCTACAGGAAATGTGGAGGGAATGCGTGACAATACGGATTCAATGAAATCGGAGGAGCAGGGAACGTCTTGGTCACTCCAACTGAAAGAGGACATCAAAGGGATACAGGAGGATGGTAGCGTTGTACCAATGAGTCCCAGCCAAGCCTATGATGATGGTGCTGATGATGATGATGATGATGGTGCTGATGATGATGCTGTAGACTGCAACGTTGAGGACCGGGATTGGTTGCCTAGCAACGGACTGAAGGCGGAGCCCATGAGTCCCAGCCAATCCGATGACGCTGCAGACTGGGACGAGGAGGACAGGGATTGGATGGCTAGCGATGGGCTGGAGGTGGAGTTATCTCCAGAGAGGGACACACCAGAGCAGAGCGTAAGAGGAGTGAGTGCTGAATTTCCCAGTGTTAAACAGGGGTCGCATTAGCTTTTACAAATCTGCCTTTTCAAAACACAGACCATAAAAATGTGTTTTAAACCATTTCACCTGCGTTTTTATATTGAAAGTCAACAATGTTTTAAACCATTTCACCTGCGTTTTTATATTGAAAGTCAACAATGTTTTAAACCATTTCACCTGCGTTTTATATTGAAAGTCAAGTGTTTTAAACCATTTCACCTGCGTTTTTATATTGAAAGTCAACAGTGTTTTAAACCATTTCACCTGTGTTTTATATTGAAAGTCAAAAGTGTTTTAAACCATTTCACCTGCGTTTTTATATTGAAAGTCAACAGTGTTTTAAACCATTTCACCTGCGTTTTTATATTGAAAGTCAACAGTGTTTTAAACCATTTCACCTGCGTTTTAGATTGAAAGTCAACAGTGTTTTTTGCTTCAATGGAGTGATCAATAGGCATGCAACTATAGTTTTTCTTCAGATGTAATACATTAATGCAACACATTCTGCAGAAAATAGCTTTGTTTTAGCACTTTGTGACATCTTCTGATGTTAAAAGGGCTTTATAAATACATTTGATTGAATTTGATTGATTTTCATCAGATGACAACGGGAGTGCAACGCTATTTGGCTAGCAGCCACACAAGTAAATTAGCTTACAATAAAAACTCAAGGTATATTTTACCAAAACGATGAATGGCCATCATATTTCTAATGTTTATCATTGAAAGAATGGAGCCAGCTACATTTCCTTATGTTTTGCTTGAAGTTCATCTTTAAGCATTTGTAACTGAACTAAAGTACACAGCAGTCAGAGTGTTGGAATGTGATTGGTCAAGACGAAAGCAAAGATATTTCATCCGAGTGGAGAAGTGCAACTGAAGCACAAAATTAGTCCTTTTAAATTCATGATTTGGCGTGAACCCGACTGAAGTTTTACAAAACACATTTTAATGCGTTTTATCTTTCCTTTTATGCATGAAAAACTCAGAATCCTGCGTTAATGAGACCTCTGCTTGAAGTGTGTTTCTCAAGTCTTTCCATGATACCTCTCATCCTCGATTCCTTGACCTCTTTCTATAAATGCATTGGAGGAGAAGTTTCTAGGTTCTTCCCCTCAGACTTTTCCTCCAATGTACTTTAAGAAGGATGCTGGGTAATAATAATATAATATGCCCATTTAGCAGACGCTTTTTATCCAAAGCGACTTACAGTCATGCGTGCATAACATTTTATTTTGTGTATGGGTGGTCCCGGGGATCGAACCCACTACCTTGACGTTACAAGCGCCGTGCTCTACCAGCTGAGCTACAGAAGATGATGAGAGGAATCAAGGAAAGACTCGATTTTCCCTGCAAAGATTTTAAAATTCCTTGACCGGTAGGAAAGTGTTTCCCACCCTGATTCATTCCATCTCTATTTTTATGATTTTCTAGGACAGGCCTCCCCCGCCCCCCTCTGCCCTCCCAGAGTCCCCTTGTCCTGCCTCTCCCGGTAGTGCCTTACTGTGGGGTCTGAAGAGGGTGTCTGTGCGGCTGGTGGACTGCAGGAAAACACCGGGGCAGAGTGGCCATATAATACACAAGACAACACAGACAGGAGAGAAACCCCACAGCTCGTCTAATGCTGGACAACACAAAACCCTCTCAGGAGACAGGCCTAGCTCCCATATCTGTGATCACTGTGGGAAGAATTTTGTCACAGCTACCAATCTGAAAACACACTTACTGTATCTGACTGGAGAGAAACCACACGTGTGCTCTGAATGCGGAAAGAGATTCACACAGGCCGGCTGTCTTAAGAGACACCTGAGAATGCATACTGGGGAGAAACCGTACGTCTGCCCTAGTTGTGGGAAGGCTTGTACTGATTCTGGAAACTTAAAGAGACACATCAGAAAAACTCACCCAGGAGAGGAGGTAATTGTGAAGAGACTTGCCTATCAGAAGAGCGTTTGTAATGCTAAAGAACGCAAGCAAACCCACTCCGGAGATGGCTTCCATATCTGTGATCACTGTGGTAAGAATTTCACCACAGCAAGAAGTCTAAAACTACACATACAGTCCCTGCAGAGAAGGAGAGAGAACTTGAATGCAGAGAAAGCTCACGTGTGCTCTGAATGTGGAAAGGGCTTCCATCAGGCTGGAAGTCTTAAAAGACACCTGAGAACTCATACTGGGGAGAAACCGTACGTCTGCCATCATTGTGGGAAGGCTTGCAGTGATTCTGGAAACTTACAGAAACACATCAAAAGTCACATGGGGAAACAACACACAGTGAAACCTTACCTCTGCTCTGAATGTGGGAAACAATTCATTGGGAAACAAGCCTTGAACATCACCGGGAGGTTTTTCACACAGACCACCCTCACCGCTGTGGTCAATGTAAGAAGAGCTTCATAACTGCAGCAAGATTGGAATCACACACAAAAACACGACACCCGCCAAGTGATCCTCTGAAGAACCCACACGTGTGCTTGGAATGTGGAAGGGGATTCCCTGTGGCCGCCAGTCTTAAAAGACACCTGAGAATCCATACTGGGGAGAAACCGTACGCTTGCCCTCAGTGTGGAAACAGTTACAATGATCGTGGAAACTTAAAGAAACACATGAGAACTCACACAGAAGAAAAACCTTACCACTGCTCGGTGTGCGGGATGAAGTTTCGTCATACGAAAACTTTACAACGGCATCACCAGGAGAACCACAAGGGGGAGACACTGGGTCCCATCCGCAGGCATCAAGACCCTCTTCCATGCGCCCACTGCGGGGAGAAGTTCTCTACCAAGGCTCTTCTAAAGGATCACCTACGGACCCACTCTAGCCGGGTCCACTGCTCCCAATGCGACAAGACCTTCTCCACTAAAAGTAACTTACTGGTTCATCAGAGGATACACACTGGAGAGAGGCCTTACCTTTGCCCTCAGTGTGGAAAGAGTTTTTCTCTGGCAGGGAGTTTAAAACTTCATCTCCGGATTCATGCGGGTGAGAAGCCTTACTGCTGTACTTACTGTGACAAGAGATTCACAAGTAAGAGCCACTGCAATCTTCACCTGCGAATCCACACTGGAGAGAAGCCGTACCAGTGCCCTGACTGCGGGAGACATTTCGCTGACGGGAATGTCCTGAAAAACCACCGGCGGACCCACACAGGAGAGAAACCGTTCCAGTGCCGCTTGTGCGATAAAGCTTTTGCCCAGTTGAGCAGTCTGAAGAAACATCAGGAGACACACAGGCTAACTCAGCCTGTCTCTGTCCCAAGACTCCCTAATCCCTATCTACCACACAATCAGCATGTACCTTATCCCTACCCACCACAGACTCAATGGTAACCTGGTTTACACCAGTCCAAGATAGGATGATGCATTTCTAACATATTGGGACAGGACCCTAGACTCAGTCCATCCCAAAACCCTACCTACCACGCACTCAATAAATGGTAAGTTTCTTAAACCTGTCCCAATCCCTTTTAGTTAACTAGATGGAAGGATCCATTTATTTTATTTTTATTTGTTATGATTTTATTGAGACGGGTTAGCAGTCGATGAGGATTGATATACTGTATATAGATCTTGGAATAGAATGGTATTTTGTCCATCTGTCTCAAACTAATTATATATTTTAGCCCCAAGAGTTTTTGTGTTAACAGTTGATTTTTGGATACGTTGTCCATTTTTTAAAAGGTGTTTAAAATTCATGGCCGAACCTCAACTGGTAGAAATAAAATGGTGACAAGGATGTGTTGTTTAAGTAATTATTTTTTCTAATTCTTTGAGTAAGAAGTGCATTAATAAGGGTCCTAGGCAAGGGTGAAAGTAAGCCAGTACGTTCCAGTGCCGCGTCCCTGAAAAATAAATAGCGGGGGTACGCCGTGTACCGGTAAAATGTGAACCTATCACAATAATTAAAAATGAAATGCCAAGAAAACTATAGGCAATTACACCATTATTTAACATTACCACATGTCAGCTGCATGAAAATGAGCTATTTGACTTGAAAACTGGCCGTATATTACATTGTAGTTCCATGAGAACACTAAAACGTTGCCAAAGGGGAGATAAGTGGTCGAGACGTACAGCAGTGGATGCATCAATTCAGGCTACAAGTGTACTGGGCCTAATGACTACAATTTAGTAACAGATGTCTCTTTCCAGTCATCAAATTGTGGGTGCACAGTGCACTGTTTGGATGCTGGAATTATTGTGTGAAAATCAAATACAAATTGTATTTGTCACATGCGCCGAATACAACTGGTGTAGACTTCACAGTGAAACGCGTGCTTACAAACCCTTTCGCAACGATGCAGAATGTTTAAAAATAATAATAAAAAATTAAATAGTGACTAACACAAGAGGAATAAAATACACAATACTTAAGCTATATACAGGGAGTACCAGTACCACATCAATGTGCAGAGAGAGGTACAAGGTACTTGAGGTAGATACAGTATGTACATGAAGGCAGGGTAAAGTGACTAGTATGTGTGCGTATGTAGTGTTTGTGAATGTGGGGTTTTGTGTGGGAGTGACAGTGTAGTGTGTGTGTGTATATGCTGTGTATATATAGTCTAGTGAGTGTGCAAAGGGTCAGTGCGAGATAGAATTAGTGCATTGTCGTGACTTGACTTTAACATTAATCCGAAGACTGTTATTTCTCTAATTAACTAAGTATGTTTAATTGTTACCCGATTTTAAATTAATCATGTAAAAATTAACTCATTAGGATCTGGGGCACCACGAGAGCGATTCTTTAAAGAGTCACCATCTCCTGAATTAAACTCTAAAAGGGCTTTACCTATCACATCTATAAACAGTCAACTTATTAATCATAACCTCGTATCATATCATCATTCTGAACAGTCGTATCCTCCTTGCATCTGCAAAAAACCGAGCCTTACTTATGATTCAGTACTACACAAATTGGTTTAATTATTTATTTACTAGCTAATTAAATGGGAACACAGGATAAACACACACTCTGCACCGGTTATTGACTGGTGACTTAATACGTTGAAAACAGGTCCCAAGCGGAATGACAACAACATGGACGTAGTTAAAGAAGAGATGGAGAGGGAGAGAGAGGGACCGAGACACTTAACGTTGCCACATTCAGAAAACTACTCTCACCTACAGTAACCATATACTTTGTATACGAACCGCCTCCCGCTTTGAGCAAGAAATCATGAATGTATTTACGTGGGGATCTCTCTGTGAACGGGGCAGCCTTGGAAAGGGGTTTGGGCCCTTTCGCGGCACGCTTGTAAGGCTCTGATTGTCCGAAATGGTTCCAACAACTCTTCTCCCGTTGTCCTTCTTCGTAGTTGTCCGGTGACTTGTCGTGTAGTCCTGAACAGAACTACAGAGTTGATTTTCCTTCCATTCGGTCTTGAAGATGCTTCTTTGAAAATAGGCTAGCCAGCCGTATCCATGGTTCCCCAGTGGGGTGATGAGAGTAGCGTAATATGATATTTTGAGCAGAGTAACAGGATGATCCAACTTGAATTCGCTTTCAAAGATACTTTACTTACGACAGCTAATCAGCCGTACCAGTGATTGTCCGGGAGGTGAGTTTATCGATTCAAAGTTCAAACCATTTTAAACACGCAGCTGCAGCTTCATGTTTTTCTGGTCTAATGTGTTAATTCGTAACCCATCATTTATACCTTTTGCTCGAAAGGGGCGGTTCCAGCAGGCTGGCACACTCCCTGACCTCCCTCCGGGGCGGTGATTACTCGCTGTGCAAAGTTTTGGAAAACAATCATCTCTTATAACTTCTCAAATCACATCCCTCTCTTAACAAAAACACTTTCATCATTTTTCATATTACAACCAATAGTATGGAAACTTCATCTATGTAGTGGGTATACTTTCCAAGTTACAGTATTTCCTTTATAACATTTTTAATGACATCACAAAATAACAAACAAAATAACATTCTCGTGGTCATGACAGCATATAGTTCAGGTACCATTAATTGACTATTTATCAGTCTGGCTATTTATCAGTCTTATGGCTTGGGGGTAGAAGCTGTCTCGGAGCCTGTTGATCCGAGAGCCGATGCTACGGTACCGTTTGCCGGATGGTAGCAGAGTGAAAAGTCTATGAATTAGGTGGCTGGATTCTTTGGCAATTCTTTGGGCCTTCCTCTGACAACGCCTGGTATAGAGGTCCTGGATGGCAGGTAGCTCGGCCCCAGTGATGTACTGGGCTCTCTGCACCACCCTTTGTAGCGCTTTGTGGTCAAGGAGCGGTGCAGTTGCCATATCAAGCGGTGATGCAGCCAGTCAAGATGCTCTCGATGATGCAGCTGTAGAACTTTTTTGGGATCTGAGGGCCCATGCCAAATCTTTTCAGCCTCCTGAGGGGGAAAGGCGTTGCCGTGTCCTCTTCACGACTGAGCGGTTGTGTGTGGACCATGTTAAGTCCTTAGTGATGTGGACGCTACGGAACTTGAAGCTCTCGACCCGCTCCACAACAGCCCTGTCGATGTGGATGGGGGCGTGCTCTCCTCTCTCCTATAGTCCATGATCAGCTCCTTGGTCTTACTGATGTTGAGCGAGAGGTTGTTGTCCTGGCACCACACTGCTAACATTTTGTTGTGTTACAGCCTGAATAAAAAATTTATTCAATTGAGATTGTTTGTAACTGGCCTACACACAATACCCCATAATGTCGAAATGGAATTATGTTTTTTGAAATTTTTACAAATTAATTAAATTAAACATTAGCTTAACAAGTCACATAATAAGTTGCATGGACTCACTCTGTGTGCAATAATAGTGTTCAACATGATTTTTGAATGACTACCTCATCTCTGTACCCTAAACATACAATTATCTTTAAGGTCCCTCAGTCGAGCAGTGAATTTCAACCACAAAGACCAGGGAGGTTTTCCAATGCCTGGCAATGGAGGGCACCTATTGGTAGATTGGTAAAAAATATATAAAAAAGCAGACAGAAAGACTCACAGCTGTAATCACTGCCAAAGGTGCTTCTACAAATTATTGACTCAGGGGTGTGAATACTTATGTAAATGAGATATTTCTGTATTTCATTTTCAATAAATTTGCACACATTAATAAAAACATGTTTTCACTATGCCATTATGGGGTAGCTGGGTGAGAAATATTTGTTTTCATCCATTTTGAATTCAGGCTGTAACACAACAAAATGTGGAATAAGTTATGGGGTATGAATACTTTCTGAAGGCGCTATGTACTCTATGCATCTATATGTAATGATATGAATAGACAAGTAAAAAGACATGGTAGGTCTCATACCGGTAAGAAATGGAATATCCTTTCACCACTGGTCCTAGGTACAGCTTCTGGCAGTGCACTAGTGTTGACTGTAATCACATGCCTTGTGTTGTCTTTATCAGGGAACAGCGGGGACTGTGAAGCAACACAAACATAGACACATGCATACAAACACACAATAATAACATACGCACTATACTGTACACACAGGTACACATGGATTTTGTGTTATCGATATGTGGTAGTAGAGTAGAGGCCTGAGGGCACACACTTAATATGTTGTGAAATCTGTTATGAATGTATTGTAATGTTTTTAAAATGTATAACTGCCTTAATTTTGCTGGACCCCAGGAAGAGTAGCTGCTGCCTTGGCTGCAGCTAATAGGGATCCATAATAAATGCAAATACAAATGTCCACCTAATAAACAGGTGATTGTTGTTAAATTGGTTCGGTCATTTAATGGGGAGCTTCTACTGTCTGGTAGTACATTTATAACTCCCTATATCATTCCTCGGAAGAGAGAGAAGGGATGGAGTTGGTGTGAAGGTTTGAGGAAATGTCTAGTCTTGAAATAAGGGCTTTTATTTTGAAGGTTTTCTTATTGCCATACCGGAAGTGACACCATCGACATGTTGCCGGAGGTCAAATGGTATAGGTTAGAACACATCGGAAGGAAAGTCACAGACGATATAATAAAAGTTATTAAGAGTAATCAGGTATTTCGTATGCGTATATAGCGAAATTTTATTCGCTTTGTAGATAGGTATAGCCAGAACCATGTAGTCGTTAGCTAGCTAGTTCCACATGGATAGCTAGCTACATTAGCACACGCTGATCTAGCTAGCTACGCTAACGTTAGCTGCTTTGTACACCGCTATCTAGCTATAGTTGTTGTAGTGTGGACTGTAAGGTTTATTATGCTTGCTAGTTACGTCCCAAACATTGGTGCAAGTTCAAGTTGAAAATGATTATAGGTGCTGTAAATTGATTTAACTGATTTGGGTCCCTTACAGAACATGACTAGAATAGCTAAGGAACTAGCTAGCCAGCTAATTCGAGATAACAGAGCAATGGCCACGTTCCAGGCTGATCTCACAACTAATAATGACATTTAATTACAGATGCGAGTGTTTTTTATGTATATGTCTTTTTTTTTTTTACAGGTACTCTAAAGTCCTGCCATTGACTGCATTGTTGTTGTTGCTACGCAAACAGGACAATATGAATCCACTCAGTTCAGAGAAGGAAACGTTGATGGATAAAATCGAAAAGAGTTTATGGAATTTAACTGAGGACAATTTACGCTACATGTGTGAACGTTGTGGAATAGAAGGCTCCGAAGTTAGAGGGATGAATCATCGCTTATTAAGGCGTAAAATCATGGAGGAAATGTGGGACAATACGGAGGCAATGAAATCAGAGGAGCAGGGAATGTCTTGGTTACTCCATCTGAAAGAGGACATCAGGAGGATACAGGAGGATGCTAGCAGTGCACCCATGAGTCCCAGCCAGTCTGATGATGATGATGATGATGATGACTGCGATGAAGAATGCGACAAGGGGGACAGGGATTGGTTACCTAGCAACAGACTGACAGCAGAGCCCTTGCATCCCAGCCAATGTGATGATGAAGAATGGAATGAAGAGGGAGGAGCTAGGTTGCCTGGCAATGGACTGGAGGTGGAGTCAGCTCCAGAGAGGCACACACCAGAGGAGAGGGAGAGTTGCGTGAGTATTTCCCAGTCAGAAATGGTTTTGTTTCTCAACAGTCTTTCCTTGATTCCTCAACCTCTTTTTATAAATGCATTGAAGGAGAATATCCGAGGTTCCTCCTCTTGGACTTTATCCTCCAATTTATTTTAAGAAGGCCAAGTAATCAAAGATGATAGGAAATAAGGAAAGAGCTTTGAGATCACCTTTTTTAAAGTTTACATTTTAGTCATTTAGCAGAATGCTCTTATCCAGAGCGACTTACATGAGCAATTAGAGTTAAGTGCCTTGCTTAAGGGCACATTGACAGATTTTTCACCTAGTTGGCTCAGGGATTCGAATCAGCGACCTTTCGGTTACTGGCCCAACGCTCTTATCTGCTAGGCTACCTTTTGAGACTTCAAAATTCCTTGACAAGTATGAGAGTGTTGCTCACCTTGATTCTTTATTTTTATGATTTCCAGGACAAGCCTCCACCACCCCCCTCCCCTCTTCCAGAGTCCACAGGTCATGCCTCTCCTGGCAGGGCCTTATTGGGCGGTCTGAAGAGGGTGTCTGTTCGGTTGGTCAACTGCAGGAAAACACTGGCGCACAGTGGCCGTATAAAACACAAGACAACACACACAGGAGAGAAATCCTACAGCTCGTCTAATGCTGAACAACACAAAACCCTCTCAGGAGACAGTCCTAGCTCCCATATCTGTGATCACTGTGGGAAGAATTTTGTCAAAGCTTCCAATCTGAAAACACACTTACTGTGTCTGTCTGGAGAGAAACCATACATGTGCTCTGAATGCGGAAAGAGATTCACACAGGCCGGCAATCTTAAGAGACACCAGAGAACTCATACTGGGGAGAAACCGTTTGTTTGCCTTCATTGTGGGAAAGACTACAATGATACTGGAAACTTAAAGAAACACATGAGATCTCACACTGTTAAACAACACACAGCGACCCCCACAGTGAAACCTTACCTCTGCTCAGATTGTGGGAAGCAATTCATTGGAAAACAAAGCCTTGAATATCACCGGGAAGTTTTTCACACAGACCACCCTCACTGCTGTGGTCAATGTAAGAAGAGCTTCATAACTGCAGCAAGATTGGAATCACACATAAAAACACGACACCCGCCAAGTGATCCTCTGAAGAATCCACACGTGTGCTTGGAATGTGGAAGGGGATTCTCTGTGGCCGCCAGTCTTAAAAGACACCTGAGAATTCATTCTGAGGAGAAACCGTACGTTTGCCCTCAGTGTGGAAACCGTTACAATGATCGTGGAAATTTAAAGAAACACATCAGAACTCACACAGAAGAAAAACCTTACCACTGCTTGGTGTGCGGGATGAAGTTTCGTCATACAAAAACGTTACAACGGCATCACCAGGAGAACCACAAGGGGGAGACACTGGGTCCCATCCGCAGGCATCAAGACCCTCTTCCATGCGCCCACTGCGGGGAGAAGTTCTCTACCAAGGCTCTTCTAAAGGATCACCTACGGACCCACTCTAGCCGGGTCCACTGCTCCCAATGCGACAAGACCTTCTCCAATAAAGGTAACTTAATTGTTCATCAGAGGAAACACACTGGAGAGAGGCCTTACCTTTGCCCTCAGTGTGGGAAGAGTTTCTCTCTGGCAGGGAGTTTAAAACTTCATCTCCGGATTCATGCGGGTGAGAAGCCTTACTGCTGTACTTACTGTGACAAGAGATTCACAAGTAAGAGCCACTGCAATAGCCACATGCGAATCCACACTGGAGAGAAGCCGTACCAATGCCCTGACTGCGGGAGGAGGTTTGCTGACGGGAATGTCCTGAAAAACCACCAGCGGACCCACACAGGAGAGAAACCGTTCCAGTGCCGCATGTGCAATAAAGCCTTTGCCCAGTTGAGCAGTCTGAAGAAACATCAGGAGACACATAGTACTAATCATCCTGTGCGATAAAGCCCAGTTGAGCAGTCTGAAGAAACATCCGGAGACACAAACTCAGCCTGTCTCTGTCAGGGAATCCCTATGTACCACACAATCAGTCCGTCCCAAATACTTACCAACACACGCCCCTTTGGCCGTCTCCTTTCCATGTTGGCAGTTCTAGGGAGGGATTTGGGACCAGGTGACTGAAGTTACCGAAGACAAACAGCTGGAAATAGAACTCTATATATAGCCGAACTTCCTCTCATTGGGGCCATCGGAAGGCATTGGATCAGGCGTGTCTTGATCTCTGGTTTTAAAGACTTGTCAGCAATCTTACCACCATGACCAGTTCAGTCTAAATGACAAATGTGGGTCTGCTGTTAGTATGAAATCCAGACCCGTTTTGTGTTAACTTTCTCTATGCCATGTTTGACATATTAGAATTAGAAAAAACTGGTACTGTGTACAAGGAGTGGAATGTAAGCATAAGTAGACTGGTACCCAGGCTAGTATTTTGTATGTATAGCAAATAATATATTTTCTCTCAAACTGAAATGATGCTGCTCGGCTCCCCGTTCAAGTTGAGTTCACGTTTTAGCCTGGGAGTTTTTCTATTAACAGTTGATATTTAAATAAGTTGTCCAGTTTCAAAGGGTGTTTTGAATATATGTCCGAACCCCAACTGAAGTTAATAAAAAGGGTGACAGCAATGTGTTGTTGGAGTAGAATTTTATGAGTAAGAAGGTTTATGCATAACCTAGGGTCCTAGTGTATATAACCTAGGGACCTAGTATATATAACCTAGGGTCCTAGTATAACCTAGGGTCCTAGTATAACCTAGGGTCCTAGTATAACCTAGGGTCCTAGTATAACCTAGGGTCCTAGTATAACCTAGGGTCCTAGTATATATAACCTAGGGTCCTAGTATATATAACCTAGGGTCCTAGTATATATTTACATTTACATTTTAGTCATTTAGCAGACGCTCTTATCCAGAGCGACTTACATGAGCAATTAGGGTTAAGTGCCTTGCTCAAGGGCACATCGACAGATTTTTCTACCTAGTCGGCTCGGGGATTAGAACCAGCGACCTTTCGTTACTGGCACAACGCTCTTAACCGCTAAACCACCTGACGCCCATATATCACCTAGGGTCCCATATATAAACCTAGGGTCCTAGTATATATAACCTAGGGTCCTAGTATAACCTAGGGTCCTAGTATCTATAACCTAGGGTCCTAGTATAACCTAGGGTCCTAGTATAACCTAGGGTCCTAGTATATATAACCTAGGGTCCTAGTATAACCTAGGGTCCTAGTATATATAACCTAGGGTCCTAGTATATATAACCTAGGGTCCTAGTATATATAACCTAGGGTTCTAGTATATATAACCTAGGGTCCTAGTATAACCTAGGGTCCTAGTATATATAACCTAGGGTCCTAGTATATATAACCTAGGGTCCTAGTATAACCTAGGGTCCTAGTATATATAACCTAGGGTCCTAGTATAACGGGATGTAGTGGAACAGGTTCAGAGGGTTGAGAGTTCCTTGGTGTCCACATCACCAGCGAACTGTCATGGTCCAAACACACCAAGACAGTCGTGAAGAGGGCACGACAAAGCCTATTCCCCCTCAGGAGACTGAAAAGATTTGGCATGGGTCCTCAGATCCTCAAAAAGTTATACAGCTGCACCATCGAGAGCATCCTGACCGGTTGCATCACCGCCTGGTATGGCAACTGCTCGGCCTCCGACCGCAAGGCACTACAGAGGGTAGTGCGTGTACGGCCCAATACATCACTGGGGCCAAGCTTCCTGCCATCCAGGACCTCTATACCAGGCGGTGTCAGAGGAAGGCCCTCAAAATTGTCAAAGACTCCAGCCACCCTAGTCATAGACTGTTCTCTCTGCTACCGCACGGCAAGCGGTACCGGAGCACCAAGTCTAGGTCCAAAAGGCTTCTCAACAGCTTATACCCCCAAAGCCATAAGACTCCTGAACAGCTAACCATGGCTACCCAGACTATTTGCACTGCCCCCCCCCCCCCCCCCCACCCCATCTTATCTTTTTACGCTGATGCTACTCTGTTAATTATTTATGCATAGTCACTTTAACTCTACCCACATGTACATATTACCTCAACTACCTCAACTAGCCAGTGCCCCCGCACATTGACTCGGCACCGGTACCCCCTTGTATATAGCCTCCCTACTGTTATTTTATTTTACTTCTACTCTTTTTTCCTCAACACTTTGTTGTTTTATTCTACTTTTTTATTAAAAAATAAATGCATTGTTGGTTAAGGGCTGTAAGTAAGCATTTCACGGTAATGTCTACACCTGTTGTATTCGGCGCATGTGGCAAATAACATTTGATTTGATTTTAACCAAGGGTCCAAGAATAACCTAGGGTCCTAGCATAGGGTCCAAGCATCACAAGCAAAGTGCATGTATCCTCATGCCATGACACCCACCATCTCAGATTGTTCTGAAATTGTTTCAGCAGTTAGAAACAGGTAAGATAAGCATTCCTGCAACATTTTGTTGAAATATATTTGATCTCTGATAAATTAAGCTAATTGATTGCACCCAACTTGGCCATTTTAATTTATAGGATTCATATAATAATATTCAATAAATATAATACCCAACATCCGATTTGAACCAAACTTTTTTCTACCAATGAGTAAGACATGAGGAATCCCCAAGAAAGTGTGATAAAAACCACCCGCAGACCCCCCACGCCCAACAACCAGTATACAGTATCAGTATCAACTGGTTGTTGGGCGGCTTGGAGTATTGTTTCTTCATACTATGTAATGTATCCCCAGTGGATTTGGTGATGGTTATTTTCACCTGTTCAGAGAAATTAGTCATTGAAGTTGTTTGGTTTATGTCTGTTCCTGCTATTAGGTGGAAAAATATTGAATATTAAAGGGATAGTAACTTAATACAGTTCCACAATACATTTTTTGATACTTTAGGATGATTTGGACATGAAGTGTGAAAATGCTCATATAGGTACCATTGACTTGAATTGGATTTATGCTACAAATGCTAAAAAGTTAGCATTTGAAACAGTGGCCAGTTAAACACCACTAAAGCGTGGAGTGCTGTCATATCTTGTCCATAGACTGCTAACAGCGTAAACCAATACGTCATTTTGTAATTAGGGTGAACTATCCCTTTAAAGGGGAACTGCACTCTCTATTTGGCCTCTTTTTTTGGCTTGCGCCTCAAGAAATGAGGCAGAAGCCAAACGTTGGCTTGGGAGTGTGGGTGTTTCTTGGTTGTGTCCTTGCCACCAACATCTGTCAGAACGTTGCCCGCAGCTGTTTCCCCCAGTCAATCACAGCAAACAAACCTCCTGCAGGTTGAGTTCAATAACTACAGGCGGATGTATGGTGAGATGTCGGAGGAAGCTTTGAATAGGTCAGTAGTCTACAGAGTAATATGAGAAGAATGCAATTGCTGAATTTGTAAGTGTTTTGATCACTTTTAAATGTAGTAACAGGTCCATGTAGAATAAACAACCCTTTACATAAAACCATAGAAGATATAATATAACAATGTGCACTTTTCACCTTTCATTGTTATTCCCAGCTGATACAGATACAGTGTCTATCTGCATTATGTCTGGTGGTAATGGGGTTACCTTGGTAACATGTCCGAGTGGTCATACCTTCCTGTCTGGTGGTAATGGGGTTACCTTGGTAACATGTCAGAGTG